TAAAACAGACAGAAGAAGCCCTGCCTATCCATTTGGTAAAGAGCTCCTTTACTTGGTCCAGCTGTTCTGCAGGTCCAGAGTACTTGAACGTAGCACTGTAGAAAAAGCTTATCTCTACAGAGAAGTTCACCATATTGTGTTCGGTCTTTAAAACTACTATCTCTCGTTGTTTACTTTTTTCCTTGGAAAAATTTCCTTATAAGGAAATTTTTAAGAAAAAAGGGGTTACGGGAAAGAGTTTATTATTAGGAATTTTTGATAGTTATTATGTCCTGAACTATTATATTATATTTCTAAGATTCTGATTGGTTTGTTGAGAGGGCATCCTTGTATTTTTTGATTGTTTATCATTATTTCTTGTTCCAAGTCTTTTTTTATACTGTTGGTAATGATCAACCATGACTTGTTGAATTTGATTTTGATATTGTTAATATAGTAAAACTCTTCTGCTATATGGATGATTCTTTATAGATTTGTTCTATTGTTCATTATCCATGTTATGGCATCTATATATGCATTAACTGCTATGTTAATAGTCTTCTTTTCCCATCCTGTTTTTAGTTCTGTGCATGTTCTAGAGCTGATTATGTATTCTTTGTATTGTTGACTAATTATAAATAGTAGTGGATCATAGAAGATGTGCCACAATAATATAAATATTGTATCTTCTTGATTTATTTTATCTCTTATTTAATACTCATTTGTTAATCCATGGCATATTATGATTGCATTGTAGTAATCTTAGAAAATGCTAAACAGAATTGTTATTATTGTGTCTGGTATCTTGATCCTTTGAAGGGCCAATTATACCATTTCTAAATTAATAGAATCATATTCTTTTGACATATCTTGACTCAAAATCTAGCCTTGTTGTTTAGTTTTTTTCATGTATTCGATGATACTGCTAATTATATGAATTGGATCTTAAGTACTACTACCTGGAAGTGTAGTTCAGTTTAGTTAGACAATATTTATTTATGAGTTAGACACTTGGTCAATCTATCTGTAATAATTTTGATAAATATTTTCCTTCCTGCATCAAGTAAAGTAATGGGTCCAGTAATATTTAAATTGTATGTCCAGTCCTTGGGCTTAGATATGGGGTATATATATTCCCTACTTTATTCCCTGAATGTAATACCTTGTTGGATAATTGTATTAAAGATCATTTTGAGTTCTTCTCCTACTTTGTTCTTTAAATATTTGTATGCTAAATATGGTATCTAATTGGAGCCTGGAGTTGACTTCAAGCTGCATTGTCTGATTGCTTGTACAGGTTTCTTTGTTATGATCTCCTCTATTATACCTTTATAGTGATGCTGAATAATATATAGAGAGGGACTGTATTCAGATTGCCATTTGTAATGGCATTCCAGATTTTGAATATTTCTGTGTGGTATCCAGTTATAGAAGTGTTTCTTTACTTTGATCTTAATTTCTGCTAGTTCCGTAATTATTTGCACTTCCTGTTCTTGTTAAATAATGAGTTTGTCTAGTTGCATCTATCTTCTAGGTCTTTTCAGAATACTGTTGATCATGGCATGCTTGTTATTATCATATTGCTCTTGTCTTATCTGGATTCTTCTTTTTATAGCAATGTTCTGTTTTTATAAGAAATAGTCTTTGTAACCATTTTGTATATCTTTATATTATCTTGGATTACTTTATTCCATTCTTCAAGATATGTATCAAAGTATTTAGCTTCTAGTTCATCAAGTGTAGATACCAGGTCTGAAATGGATCTTTGTATGCTCACTAGGATTTGGAATGGCTGATATGTTTTCTCTTCTTTTTTATCTATCATTGTTGTCTTACTTGTGTAAAGAATTTCTATAACTATATTATGAGTAATACTTCATCTATATCTTTGACTTGATATTTTTTTCTCCAATGGGGTTTCTTTTTTGGAATGTTTTTCTTAGCTGCTTTTTGGATAGTATTGCTGAACTGATTCCATTTGTGGTTCAAAAATTGGTAACTCGTATATTCTGTTTGTATATTTCACTCAATGTATTTACTGAACTTTTTCCATTATTGGGCTATAGTAAGTTGCCAGTTATACCTGTAATTATGTTCATAATAGATTGCTTGTTTAGGTGTATTATTATTTCATACTTATATCTCTGCTATCATTGTGATATAGTTACTTAAAATTGATAGTATAGTAATATTTTGGATGGAGGCTGTTTTTGATTGCTATATTGCTTGTGGGCTCATCTATATTTGATCAATTCTACTGCTACTTCCTTCTCTGTTCCAGGTATATTCTCTCTTTGTGGAGTTATATATCCTATATATGTCTTTCAAGTTATTATTCAGAAGGATTTGTATTTGTTTTCTTGAAGAAGGATGTTTTTTGATTATCTTTGTACTGCTATACTTATCAATTGCTGAATTGCAAACTCCATTCATATCCCCTGCTACCATAAGATGGCATCCTTTTTCTATTGCTTTTTTGATCCATTTACTTAGAGTGTTGAGTATCATTTGCTTATCTCCTTCCATATCTTATATGGAAAAGTACACTCCAATTATTTTTCATATGGTACGGCCATGTTGATTGCGATGAGTCTTCCTGTAAGTGTTTTATAATTATAAATTCTATATGCAATATCCTTGTTGATCATTATATTTAGCCCTTGTTCATTAGTTTGTACTTCTTTGTGAGTTCATATAGTTTAGAATTTCTTGTGTTGTTAGTGTTTTGATTGTTGATATGAGCTATTTGTCTCTATAGTAACTATGATATCCCAATCTGTCATATCACAAAAGTTGAACCGTATTTTACATTTGTATATTTCTACAAGCCTTGAATATTGAATATTGCGACTTTCCATATTGATTTGTATTCTCTATATGTTGTTATGGATTTTGTTGTACTGAATGTTATATTATTTGTGTCTGGATTGTGATTTGAGATTGTTGTTTAGTTGTTTATTTTTCCTATTTGTTGTTCTACTGCATTACAAGAGTTTATTGTTTGATTGTTTCTAGAGTTGCTTGATTCTTTTATTGATATAGTGCTTTAATTGCTATTCATTATTGTCTATATGGAAAGAGAGTGTAATGCTTGAGATAAAGTTGAGTATAATGTTGTACATCTGATCCATATGTTTGTCTAGTTTCTGCATAGATGACTGAATACATTGTTGTTGAATACAAATGTCTTGAATACTATTTTGAAGTGTTGTGCCTGTTGCTAAACCTTTTTCTGTGTTAAGGGAGGATGTGTCTTTACCTATTTGTTTAGTATAATCTTTATCATATGTTTCTAAATTAACTATATATTCTTTTATATCAGCTATATCTTCTTTTATCTTTTGGATTTCTTGCTTGATTATCTTGAGAATATAGAATACTTCTGTCTTGATTGTTTAAGGAAGTTGATACTGTGTTTCATCTTCTTTTGATAATCTTGTTGCTGCTGTATAGAAGCCTGGACTGACTTTTCTTTGATTATTGTGTGTAGTTGCTAATGTTCACAATTTTGATTTGAATCTGATTGATCTATAAATCAAATACGAATCGGATCAGATCAAATTTCAAAATTTTTAATCTGATCAGATTTGGATCAAATCAAATTTTAAATTTATAAAATTATTGAATTCAAATCAGATTCAAATCAAATCCAATCAGATTCAAATTGGATTCAGATCAAACCTGATATACTGTAATTCAAATCAGATATGACCAGTCCATATAAATTGTTATATAATTATTTAATTTCATTTAAATCAAACTATCTAGAAAATTAAAATTGAACTATTTAGGAAATTAAAATAAACCTATCTAGGAAATTAAAATTGAGCTATCTAAAAAATTAAAATAGTTTTTTTTTAAAAAAAATAATATAAAAGACAAATTAAAAAAATTCAATACTTGTTCTTTTTGATGATTTTTAACCTTTTTTTGTGATATTATAGTTTTGCTGCTTAATTACTTTCATATATCTTTTGTTTTGTTAATTTATTTCTTTTAAAAATGAAATATGAAAACTCATTTGATAGCATATATTTTGCATATAATGAAAGTAGCAGTTTAACTAGTTATGACAATATCAATACTAAAAATGCTAATACAAGTAATTTATTGGAATTGGCCTCAGTTATCTTAACAATTTCTAGAAGTAAAGTATGGAAACACTTTATAAGGAGTGTAAGTTTTAAAGAGAACAAAAAGGTTATCTGTAAATATTACAGTATGATATATACTTGTAGTGTAGGTAGTGCTTCTAATCTAATAAAACATCTTGAAAAAACTCATTTGACAAAATTAAATATAATAACTGACAACACTGAAATTGGCAATTTTTTTAAAATAAAGATAATTTCAAATAATTTTTAAATTTTTAAAAAAAATACTATTAATTTTTTGTATTTATATATAGTGGACATATAACTCAACAAAAATGAAAAAAAAACTTGTTCAATGGTTCATTATCAATCAGCAACCTTTTACAGTTGTCCAAGAACCAGCTTTCCTTGCTTTCATACAAACATTAGCACCAGATACAAAAATATCATCAGCTACTTCTATTAAGACCTGTATAATGGACTTTTATTTAAATGATCAAGAAAAAATTCAAAAGATATTGCAAGAAATAGAAAGTCATATTTCATTTATACTTGATATTTAGACATCAGTT